ATTTTTTTATTTTTTTTTTTTTTTTTTTTTTTTTTTGCCTATGTATTATTTTATTGTTTTCCCTTCAGTGAGAATCTATTTTGACCCAGTTTTTCCCTAAGCATCACTTCATTTCATCTTCAATTGTTTTTAGTGAGAATGAGCGATCTCAAACTGCATTTGTAAATTTCAAGGATTCTGAGGGTGCAGAGACTGCAGTTCTTTTATCGGTAACTTTGCTTTGCAATTCACTGATTCATTTGTCTTTGTGCCTTACCATGTTAAAGGAAATTCAGTATTAGCTTCAAGTTTTATATGAGGAGAGTCCATGCTGATATTATTGCTTTATTAGGGGATTATAATGAGATGAATAGTTTTTTTTTTAAAAATGAGTGGTTGAAAAGTTTTTGATTTACGTGTAATATTATTTTATTGAAGATTGTGGGGTTAAAAGTAGGAGAGAGAGAAATTTAATTTAATGTAATGAGAAATAATGGGGCTCAAACGGGGGCTTACTTAACTTAGAATAAGGTTCCATTGCTCTCACACGGCTATCTGGTAGGTCATCATATTTGATATCTCTGTTTTACATCTTTGGGCGTATGAATGGATAATAGTCAAATAAAGTTAAGTTAGGGTCCGTTTGGCATGACTTTTTGAGATGTTCAAAAAGTTTTTGAGACCCAAAAATTGATTTTGGACTGATTGACTAATTTTATAAGTACTTCTAATTAGAAGAACTTTTAGATGAAGTTGGTCCAATATGACTTTCTCTAAAAGCACTTCCAGGAAAAAAAAAAGAACTCTTTTAAAAATTGGTTTACAAATAAAAATTGAAGTGGCTTCCTCCAAAAGCTCTTCTACAGAAAGTAAAAATAAAAGCAAAAGTCATGTCAAATTAGCTGTTAGTGGATGTTTATTATAGAAATTCTTCAAATTAGAATCTTTGTTTAGTGTTTTCTGTAGCTAAAATTATTTAATGATGAAGCTGGTTATAAAATTTGTTCTGTAGAGTCTGCAAACCTCGGTCATAATTGAAGGATTCTTATCCCTGAAAATGGTTTATGATACTGATCGATGTTTCAGAAGAAGTTTGCTCATTAAAATATCTGAATCCTCCTTGTACTCTGCGCATGTCTTGGTCTTATGATTAAGATGATTTTTGTCAGAAGGCTCGTCTTTAATCTGTGTTACTGAATTGTAAAAGTAGTGTTTGTTAAGCAACATCATTTGGTTGCAATTAACAAAATTATTGATCTGGTCGGTTAACTCAGTGAGCTTGTTAATTTTATTCTATAGAATTGCAATATGTCACAGTTCATGTTTTTTAGTTAAATGGTGATTTTTTCTCTTATTTTGTTGTGTGCTTGAATCTTACAAGAAATGAGGGTAAAACTTCCCTTGTTACAAATTTCTTTTTATCTTACTTTTGAAGATCTGCACATTTGATTTTTCCAGGGAGCTACCATTGTTGATCAACCAGTTGACATAGCCCTTGCACCAGATTATAGACTTCCACCTCAAGCTATGGCATCTGTTGGTGTATGGTCGCTTGACATGTTATTTAATTTTCATGCACCAGATTTACTTTCCTCATTTAGCCGGACTGTTTATGTCCTCAGGCTGCAGAAAACAAGAATTTAGGTAACACTGGATCTGCTGTCCAAAAGGCGGAAGATGTTGTCAGCAGCATGCTGGCTAAGGGCTTTATCTTGGGGAAGGATGCGCTTAGCAGGGCCAAGGCTTTGGATGAGAAGCACCAGTTCACTTCCACAGCTTCAGCTAAAGTAGTTTCTTTGGACCAAAAGATTGGTTTGAGTGAGAAAATCGGCATGGGGGCAACCGTGGTAAATGATAAAGTGAAGGAAATGGATCAGAGGTTTCAGGTTTCTGAGAAGACAAAATCTGCTTTTACGGTTGCTGAGAAAACAGTTAGTGATGCTGGATCAACCATCATGAAGAACCGACATGTTTTGACTGGGGTTTCGTGGGTAACTGGTGCTTTCAATAAGGTCACCAAAGCTGCCGGAGAAGTAGGGCAGAAGACAAAGGAAAAAGTGATCGAGGAAGAACATGGAAAGAACACCGCTGAAGGTTACGCCCATGTTCATAGCTCTGAATCCCCGTAAGCTGCAACAGGTGATGCTAAACCCTTTCCTCCTCAGGGCGTAGTCCTTGGAAGATTGATCACCTAATCTTCTGTATATAAACGATAAATTGTTTGGATAGTTCTACCTCTAATCCTAGCTAATTATTTTCTCGTATGGTTTGACTGTTGACTGTTGTGGGAATTGCTGGTTTTCAGACTTCTGTCTAGTTTACAATAGGGTTATGACTAAGTTGGTGGTTTTCACTGCGTGTATAAGATGATTGGATTTGTTACCTCTGCATTTGTGCTGGAAGTAGAAATGATTTCTTTTGATATTGAAGTAATTTATCTGGTTTTAAATGGCTGATTTCTTTATAGATGAGGAAATTACATCAAAAGAAAATCAACAAATAAATCCAGGATACAGAGCAGATATTAATTGGTACAACGTTTTGCATATACGACTGATTAGAAGCACCTTTTCTTACTTCCTTGAGTCCTCAACAACTTCCATTCTCCAAGATGCCCCAAAATTTTCTTTCTTCACCATTAACCGTTGTGGCTTGAGTTTTTTTCTTTTGCCGACTAGGCCTATAAATTCAACTGCAACACTAAGAGCATAAAGAACTTGGGGAGGCGAGTAAAAGCTCTCTTCTTATTTTAAGCGATGAATGATATTTTTTCCTCCTGTTTTTGAGCCTATCTTGCTAGTTCGAGCTTATGAACAAGCTTGGACAGTTTTCCTTACTGTCCATGCTTCAACATCCAAGTTTTCGTCAGGATGAACAAATTTTTTCTTCATGGAAGGGAAATTAAGCCAGTATGAATGGTGAGAAACTAGACCATTCATTAGAAGAGAAAAAAAAAAAAGACATGCTCCCGCTCCATTTTGTGTATTGGGGCTATCAAATTACATATGCCATGGAGTTGTGGCCTGACGCATGACCTCTCCATTATCCTGATCGGGCAACTGCTTGCCTAAGTCTAGGGCAGCTGCTTGCCTAAGTCCAACAAATGATTTATAAAAATTCGGCCCCTTTGACAGGTTAATAATTGGATGTAACTCCAACAATGCAAAAGCCCATTTTTCAATAACATTGCCTAAATTCAATGGATGATTTATATAAAATTTGGCCTAGCCCCTTTGACTGGTAAATAATTGGATGAAAACTCCGACAATGCAACAACCCATTTTTCAATCCGACTTTTGAGAAATGGTATCGATAACATTTGTTTGATCAGGGAGCCAAAATTCCTCTTGCGTTGGTTTCCCTTCTGAATAAAGCAGTTGATGTGTGTACTTCAATTTCACCAACAAGTTTTCTCCATTCTTAGGCAAGTTGTAGCCTTGTAGGCACCATAATCGAGTTCTTCCAGATCCCCATCTGGCGATTGAAATTCCTGTTCGACATAGTATCTATCTTAGTGACTCCATAACGTGGACTTTGTACATGCAACCTTTCATTTCCAAAAACCAGTAAATGCTACGTCAAGTGGAACACTAACATCTCCAGCGTGGAGGGAACCGTTAGCACTGAGCTCCGAGCAGTTCCATGGTGAACTATTCCTTTAATGTCAAAAACATCTAATCGAAATCATAGATTGAAGGAGAAGAGTGTTGAATTAATATGTCACCATTTGTTCATTAATCACATCAGCACCTCTAATCCTCCCCATAAATTAATGCTACGCTGAATCAGTTTTAACTACTGTGAAACGCAATTGGCTTGTAACTTCATTGCGGTTGCCTAATTGTACCATAATTCAGGAGTTTTATGATTATTTTTTTTTTAATGAATCTGATGAAAAACGTGTAAATTGAGATTTACCTGCCAAAGTAAAGGAAGGAAGATTTGAGCTGGGAACGAAGAAACGAGAGGTCAGAAGTGCGGCCTCTTCAGTGGGACAATCCATTACGAGGCCAATGCAAGGACCGGTTTGGGGAAACTGTCTCAAGTGAACAGTTTTCCACAAACATTTTAATATACATTTGGACTTTGCAATTTGCACATCC